TCAGACTTAGGTTCCTCCACCTATTGATGTAGTCGATGACTGGCTCTTCCTTCCATTGTCGAGATGTAGTGAGCTCGATCATGCTGACCGTACGTCTTGTGCTGTAAAAGCGACTAAGGAATTCGTGCTCCATTTGCTCCCAGCTATCGATGGAGTTTGCTTCTAAATCAGTGTACCAGTCAAATGCAACCCCTTTGAGGGAACGAACAAACTGCTTCACGAGATAATCGCCATGAGTTCCCGCATCGTTGCATGTCTCAATAAAGTGGGCTATATGTTGCTTCGGGTTGCCTTTGCCATCAAACTGCTGGAACTTGGGAGGTTGATATCCAATAGGCATCCTCAAGTTATCGATCCTTGGTGAATATGGCTTGACGTAGCTGTGGGTTGACTTGGAACCACCATCAAGTTTATCCTTAATTGTCCCCATGATGAAATCGTTCAGTTGATCAATGGGGATCATTCCCGTGGACGAATGTTGGAATGGAGTCTTTTCTCTTTCATTATATTGCTCTTGCTTGGACGTCTCAGACTCTTCGTGATCTTCAGTTCGTTTGTCCTTCGCGTGGCTTGTTTCAGTATTGTCGACCTTGTCCATTAGCTTCAAGATTTGAGAGTCTTGCTCTTCGACCTTCTTTGCGAGCCCTTCAATAACCTTTGTTAAGCTTGCGATGCGCTCTTCAAGAGTTGAAGCATTGGTTGTCATAGCCGGAGCGACACTTGATCTTGATGAAGAACTTGATGATGAACGAGGAGTTGAAGAAGCAGAATCGTCTTCATCACGTCCGTGGGTAAGATGCAGCTTATCACTTCCAATCACCTCGTGCAAAGGAGCCGTCACCGAAGATGCTTGCAGTTGCTTGGCCATGCTTCTTGTGACGACGCCGAGGTTGGAACTTGAGGAACTTGTTGAAGGAATCTTGACTACGGCAATCTTGCGGCTAGTCATGATGACTTGAGGAACTTTGGAGAAGAGATGAGAGGTAGAGAGGTCCCACTGGGCGTGCCAAAAATTTGTAACAACAAATTTCGTGAATTGAATTTAAAAACACGAAAAATAATATTCAAATGAATTTCTTGAATCAAAACAATATTGCGGGTTACAATCTCTATTATTCCTCTGATTCTTCTCACAAACAATATTTAAGTCTTGGAGCGAAATCTTCGGCTTGATCTTCTCCTTGACTTGATTTGACTTGAATTAACGTAATCCGAGGGCTTGAAAGCTTTTTCCCAGATCAAACGTCAAAATATCCCAAGAACGCGAAGAACACGAATCCTTGGTCTTTGCCGCAAAGCAGATCTCGAATCTCCTTCACGCCAGTTTTGAATTTACTAACGTTATTCGGAGGCTTCGCAGCTTGTTTCCGGATTGAACGCTAGTTTTGAGGTTGAACGCACTTGAATCTTGCTTTGAGTCTTCAAGAACGCCTTTAAATCTTCAAGAACACTTGAATCTCGTCGAGAGATCTTGAACTTGAACTTGAATATGAACGCAATTCGGAGGCTTGACAGCTTGTTTCCGGATTAAACGTCGGTTTTGAGCTTGAATGTGCTTGAATCTTCCTTCGAATCTTCAAGAACGACTTTGAAACTCCAAGAACACTTGAAACTTGTAGAGAGGATTCTCTAGGGCTCTTGAACTTGAATTTGAATTATGAGATGTGTTTTTGACATTAGGGAGAGCCCCTATTTATAGGTGTAGGAGAGAGCACCCTACCAAATTTAAGAATCGTAGGACGCAATTTGATTGGTCCATGATGATTCACATAAGATCTTTAAGATCTATTTAGATCTCACAAGATCTTCTAGATCCACTTAGATCTTCCAAGATCTTCTAGAAGATATGATTTATTTACCAAGAATAAGGATTTGACACTTGGCATTATTTGATTGGTCAAGAATTAAAATATTAAAATATCAATTAATTAACTATTTAAATTTAGGAATTAAATATATGAAAATTCCTAAAATATAAATAGAAAATATAACTTGATTTTTAATAAATTAATTTCCACGTGGCGCGATTTGATTGGACACAATTTTTATGTATCTACAGAGGTATTTGACTTGACTCGGGTGGAATGATATCTCTAGAGGACTATATAATTTTTAATATCTCTCTTTCTCTCTTTTATTTTAATGTAATTCTATAGTTCAAAAAAAATTTGCAGAGATTAAGTATAAACATAAATGACTATATACAGACTTATGTCTCTACTTAACAGGATATACAAAAAATTGAATGTCATTATAATATTAAAGTAAAATATATAAGTAAATATCATATTTGAAAATAATAAAATTACTAATTATAATTCATAAAAATTTGTGTCATTGTAATAGTAAATACTCTATTAGTTATTTGTTATACAATTGTTTTATAACTAGTAATCCCCTGTGCGATGCACGGAATAATTATAATTTATGTGCTTTTTCGAAGGTAATTTTGTATATAGTCATAGTAAAATTGAGCGTGACGATTATAAAATTAATAAATGAATAAAAAAATGTACGGGATATATATAGTATGTGACCAGTACATACGAGTGTAAATAACACTCATAGTGAGTGAGACCCACCAAAAATAAAAAATCAAGTGGACTTCATTCCATATAAGTATTATTTACACTTCTATGTACATTTATTATATATACTTGTAGCATTTTCCATAAAATATATCAAGTATTGGACTATGTTCCATAACATCGACACTAACTAAACAAACATTAGGCCATAAGTTCGGATTTTTAGGGCTTTCATTTCATTTTTTCCTCTCCTCTCCCGACCAATTCTCTATGTCGTGTTGGTCGTCTTTTTTATTTTTTTACCTGCAGAAAATGAACATTTCTAAACAAATCGATCACATCTATTGTGATTCGTACATTTATGTTTATATTAATTTAAAATAAAAATTTGAACACATTGTGTTTTGATTATAAGATAAGTCCAAATGATTTGAAAATAATTAATTAGTTAAGTCGTTAAGATTTTTTATCCGTGTAGAAAGATGACCAATTAGTACACATGTGTCATAATTAAACGTCATTTAAAGTTTTTGAGTAATTGTGATTTGATGATAAGATAAGTTAAAATGATTTAGATAATTAATTAATTGATTGAGGTGTTTAGATTTTATAACGTGTTTTAACTTGCTCATTACACGTGTTTCCTCATTAACTCAATTTTTGTTAGTGCTATAGCATGATAAACTATATTATTATATTATTTAATGTCAAATATTAAGGACTCTTATACTAATTATGTTGTTTAAACTTGCTTCAATTATGATAACCGAGGTAATGTACACGTCTTGTTTAAATTATGATAATATAAGTGTACATGAACTATATTATAAAATATTGGTTTATTTGTTTAGAAGTTTTATTAATGTGGAAACTTTATGATAAGATTGGTGTGGAATTTTCATAAATGCAATTCTAATGTGGTCCTAAAATATTTAATTTTCTGTTACAGTTTCTATCAATTGTTGGATTGACTCAAATATCAATTTTTTAATTAATTTGTTTTGAAGTTTCATTATATGGTTCTTACCCTTATCTTTGAAAATTTAAAAAGCCTTATCTTTCGGTTTATTATGGTTCTTACCCATTGTTTTAAATAGTCTAAATATAGAAAGTCAACTGATTTATTTATTTGGTCAAAGTTTCTAAAAATGAATTTAACAACAACCTTTTTTTATATAGATATTGTGACGCCCCGTCCGTTTGCGAATAATTTGGATTATTGTTATTATTATTATTGTG